AAAACATTCTGCTTCTTGTGGCACAAAATAATATGTTGACAACGTTTTATTTTACCCTGGCAAACTGTTGTCCATTCGTGGAGTGCTCACTTTTGGAACATTTGGAATGTCCCACACCTGCATACACACAAATGACTGACTGAAATAAAAAATAAATTCACTTTAATTAAGAATAGATGCCACGATAAATCCAAACTGACCAAGGTACATTATTTTGTTGAGCGTCCTTTAACTCTCAAATTAGGATTTGCATTGGGGCACAATAAACCAACTCCTCTCTGCACCTAATATATCTATATGATGTCAAGAGTTACATTTAGGTGCACAGTGCTGTCTCTTGACTTGCAAACTCTTTTACCAAACAAGCTAACGCTAGCTGGGTAAATATGACGCTCTTTGTATCAAAACAAAACGTACCTTCTTATATATTGACTTTTTCCACTTCGATGTTTCCTCCGGCTTCAATTTCCATCACTCTTTTTCGTTCTCTCTATGTCTGGTCAGACATCAATCTGTTCCACGTAGCGTGCCCCCTAGAGGCCTGGAGCACTTCCGGAATGTTTTTTTTTTGTATGTGTTTTGGGATTTGTACGTGCTTTGGACTTTGCATATCTTTTGGTATTTGCAGCGTTTTTTTTCGGGGTTTGTGTGTTGTATTTAGTTTGCATCATTTCTGTAAATGCAGCGTTTTTTGGTCGTATTTGTTTTCAGGATTTGTTTGTTTTTCATTTCAGGATTTGCAGCTGTTTCCTGCTAATGTATGTGTTTTTGGCCGTTGTTCCGCGTTTGCACCTGCCGGCCACCGTAAAAAACAGATTTGAATGCTGGCAATAATGAATTACAATAAGATGTATTAAACCTATGTATGCTTTTTTATTATTATTTCTAATGCTATGTAGGTGAATACACTTTGTGAGTCTTTGAAGAAGACTCACAAAATGAAGGCTTTTCTTTTAGGTACTGCTTTCATCAAATCAAGATGGGTTATTTGCACTACACAAATGAATACCTCTGTCTTATTTGATTTAAAAAAAAAAAAAACTGTATAAATATGATTTTGTATTAGTTTTCTATCCCCTCTGCCTTTGTCTTATGTTAAGAACACACACACTGTTTATTTATCCAGGTACTATAGTTTAATGAGTATGAACCTGAGCACTCTGAGCTATAACTATCATGCTGTTTGAGTTTTCCACATGAGGGCGGAGGCTGTGACTCTTTTGGCCCTGTATTGCGCGCGTGTCTGAGTGTGCGCGCGAATCCCCACATCAAGTGTGTGCTCGCGGTGATGCTACCTTGGACAGCTCCAGGCAGCACACGCACTTGAGCAAGCGGAGATACTCTCTCTTTAAAACAATTTCCAACCACAGAGCCAGCTTACCTCCTCCAGTTTAGTTTACTTTGACCTTTCCACTCTACGCGGACCTACTTTTTTCGGATAACCCCTCGTTTACAGCCCGGTATGGAGCAGTAAAGACGCGGACTCCTCTCTCGCCCTCCGGCTGGAGCTGAGGAGATGCCCGGGGCGGGATGTGTTCCAGTCGCAAGATCCTGTGGAGCCTGCTCCTGCTGTCCGTGGTGGAGGTCGGCCTGGGTGTGGCGAGCATCGTCCTGGGAGCCGTGGGCATCAGCTGGGTCAGCGGAGAGCACAAGACCCAGCAGGGCGATGCGTCCCCGGTGTGGAGCGGACTCTGCGTAAGTCCTGAAACAACTTCTCTTCTTCCCTGCGTTTACTTTCAGACAGAATATCCACGTCAGGTTAGGATAAATATCTCAGGGATGTTGTTAAAGGAAGTTGCACGGCTAAAACTCAGGGGAATTATCTGTCTCTGTTCTTATTCAACATTGAATGTACATACTAAAACGTTTCTCACAGAGAATGGGCGGTACATATCTGTATATTAAGGTCAGGTAGGCTATATTAAACTAATTTGGCCTTTTAAAGGGAAACCATGATAAATACTTTTTACTTTTTTTATTAGTTTTATTCTTCCTAATAACTCTTCATAAAAAAATGTACACCAACAAATCAGGCTACACATCAACGTTTTTCTTAAAAGTCTACCAATTAAGTGTTGTTTCTGTGGTCCACGACACTTTTAACTTTTACATCACACACTGAAGTTGATTTTGAAGTCACAGTATAAAGCTATAAAAGGTATTCAATTGATATGTCGTCACACTGGTGGTGGTTTATCTAATATTAATCACGAACTGGAAGCTGAAGTTGCCAGTTTTAAGACCTAGGATGTGGATAAGACTACATTTGTTGTTGGTCACATACTGCACATTCGTCCTTTCTGTGACTTAATGTGTTAGTTAGTTCAATGCGATGTTAGAGAGATACAAACGGACATTTGGTCTATAGGTTCATGCCACAGTTGGGCATCAGTTTCATTCATTCATGCTTGAATTGCTGCCTGGTTCTTAAGCTTTTACGCACAAACATCGCCTCTCCCCTCTGCATATGTCTCCTCCTCTTACAGTGCACTCTCTTCCTCATTTTCTTGATTTTCTGCAGAGCAATGAAAAGTTCAGTTTCTGACATTTTTAGAAGATATATAGTCTCGAATTGACTATGAGCGCAATATTACTGCTGTGAGTGTGTGGAGCTCAACTATAAGTCATATATTAAAGTATCTGAATCTGGTTTCAGTATCTCTTGATGTGTAAATATCTGCAAAGAAAGAACTTAGTTATACTACTTTCTATGTTTTTGTGTGGGTGCATAGTGTGTGTGTAAAAAGCAGTCATTCAGTGTGACATCTGTGTGTTTAACCTCACAGCTGTCTGCTCAGTCAGCCCTTGTCTCTTTTGACTATCCAAGAGGTTTTATATCTCCTCTCAGGAACTGGAAGTTATTAGTAGTGACTGACTGTTCCCCCCAAAGTAGATTGAATGTCCAACTTTTGCACAGATTTAGTGTGCTGCTGAATCTGGAAAATGATCCTCTTCATATCTAAATATATCTATCAGGACTTTTTGAGTTATGAATGTTTTGCTACATTTTGTCATATATTGTTAAAAGATATTAGGCAGCCCTTTAAAAACCAAATGTCATCTGTTACATTTCTGACTTAATCCATAATGATTTGGAGTTTATCATTTCTAAATCAAAAGCACCAATTTCTTTTTAAACAAACACTTTGCCTTTAAAGGAAAGAAGCCTAAAATCTAGACACCATGTATTCAGATGTGACATATACATTTAAGGGTTTTTATATTTTTGTACTGAAATAATAAGAATATTTTCAGAGCGAAACTGAGAAACTCTAATTCACATTTACATCTTTACTTTACAACAGATATAATACAATTACCTGAAAGCAACTTGAAACAAACAACTTAAATTAAGATCCACTCAGTCTATTTTCTTCTGTTTAAGGCAAACCAATAAGGTCTGAAAGCTCTGAAATAAATCTAGTACGTGAACCTTAAAACCTCAACTTGAACAGAAGAACAGTCATTTTGAGTCGCTTCCAACTTTTTAATGAGTTAATACAGAAGTATAGGTATACAGTACACCCAGTACACACAAACGTATGCCTCCAGTTACTTCCAATGCAGCTTATTTCTCATCGTGCTGTCCCATTTGTAAGCATATATTCTGTCAGCGTAAAACCATACCGTTCCTGCTCAGCCTGAATCACTGACGCCCAGGACAGTGGGTTGCTGTGTTAATGCCACAATAACACACAATCTTTTTAGACAGACAAAGTTTCATCTGAATACCCGGGTGTAAAGAATACAATCATCCTTTCCTGCTGTCAACACAAGGAGGAGGGGGTGATGCAAATAGTTTACATTTCAAAGAGTTTATAAGCAGTAACTTTCTTAAGGCTACAATTTAAGAAGAAACTGCTCATTAACTTGTTTGTTGTTCTCTCTCTATCCAGTTTCTGGTCTGTGGGATGTGCGGGATGCTGTGTGCTCGAAAGAGGACAGGTCTTATTGTAAGTATATATTTAGTTGACTACTTTCCCAGTGGCATCTTTTGTTGTCCTTTTGTGATATGTTTTTGGACTTTCCTGCTGCGGCAACATGCCCTCCAGTGGCACATTGGGAGCAAAAGTGATTTAAAGAAAACGATTCCACATTTTTGCAAAGTATTGCATGCAAAGATCATTACTATTCTTATACAATTAAGGCCACAGCCTGCATCCATTGCATATCTAAGCTTAGCTTAGCATTGCATAGCTTAGCTTAGCTTTAACACTGGAAGAAAGGGGAAATCTGTCCCTGTCCCACTATCCGCACCTCCAAAATTCACAGATTAATACTCAGATCTTGTTTTGTTTATTCTGCACAAAAAAAGAGTGTGTTCAAATATGTATTGGACAGCTGGTTGCCTGGCAACTGGATACTGTCCTATGAAAAGTCTGGCAAATAACCCTGAAATATACAGTTGTGATGAGTAAACTTCACAGTGCTGCTGTTTCACCCTGCTTCCAGGCTTTATGCTAAGCTAAGCTAACCACCTGCTAGCTTCATATATAACAAACAGATTTGGGAGCTATTAACCTTCTCATCAACAAACTCACGAACGAGCAAACATGAGTTAGAAATTGGACAATGACTGTACAAACAAGGCCTGAGTACATTCCCTTACAAGTTTACAAGTGATGGCTGTCTGATCATGTGAAACACCCAAAGGTGCTCGTTGTCCTGCAGGTGCGTAGGCCTACAGTGTGCTCTGAAAAAGACATTTGCGGAAATCCGAGGAGACAGTCACCTCTCCTCTTCTCTTTCTGTCGTTCCCTCCATCTTTTATACATAGTGATCCCATCGCAGCCTCTCTGTGCCTCTCCTACAGGGAGGGCACTAATGATGGATCAATGTCAGCACAATCTGCTGTAACAGAGACATCCCTCAACCTTTCTCTCCCTCTGTCTCACCCTATCCATCCCCGCCTATTGTCTCTGTCGTCCTCCTTGTATCCTCGTGACTTTCCCTTTTTCATCGCTCTCATCTCTCCACCTTCTCTGTCCAATCTCATCCTCCCCGGTCGTTTCGATGCTCTGACTCTCTCCATCTCCTCCTTCCTTGTTTGCCTGTGGGGTGATGATTGCATTATGTTGGTTTTGCTCCGGAGTCCTGCCAGCCGCTTTCCACACTTTACAGAGTAATGACTGAAATTGGAGAAGCCTTTTTCCATGTGGTTAAAGGCACTAAAGGCATCTCTACTGGGAGCAATAAGAGAACCTGAACTCCTGACACAACACTCACACAAACACAAGCATGCCTGCACAATAAACGTGTAGAAGTGAATCGATTGGATTTTATTATTCTGATTGCAAAGCGACTGCAGTCATTCTCCCATCACATCCTGGTGGGAGGGAAATTGGATACTCTTACTGAGTTTGAATTTTCCAACTGCTTTTTTCTAAGGTAATCCATAAAATGTGATTTATTAGACACTGAATGGAAAATCTCACGTACTGTCTAACACACACAAATCAGACACACAAACACAAGCACAAAAGCACAAGTGAGTGATGCAAGCATATTTACAAGCTGTGCAATATTTCTGGAAGAGACAGTATGCTTTGAGAGCGATCCAATTTTCTAATAGGAAATTAGATTTATTTTGACTGATACGCATTACTCATCAGAGCAGCCGTCGTCCAAAACAGAAAATGATGGAGATGAATCTCAACAGTAGCTTGTATATCTCCCATCTGATCACTTTTTGTCAGTTTGTTTACAGTTTTGTGGAGAAGATATCAATTCTGCTGTTTGCATTGACATAAACCATTCTCCCTGTCCCCCAGATGATCCTATTTTCGGCATGCTGTATCTGTGGTCTGATTGGTGGGATCCTCAACTTCCAGTTTGTCCGGGCTCTGAACAAACGACCAGACTCCATGCACTCCATCCATCTGGCTGCCATGACACTGGCCTGTCTGGGTATAATATAACATAACACAATTGTTAATGTCTTCTTCATGTGACAAGTATGCTATCATAATGAAGGGATGTTGTTAGTAAGTATATTTGTTTGAGGGGTTTATATGTATATTCAAAGGTTTTACTGAAGGGTAAAGCAGCTTTTAATATGCCACCTATTAGCACTGTTAAATAACTCCAACCTGTTACTATCATCATAGCTTCACCACTGTCACAGGAAGTGGCGTAGTCATCTCTTTCTCCACATAAAACAGTTAAGGGTGGGCTTACAGTAATGAAACAGCAGTGACAATGCTAACATGCTGATTTCAAACTGGCATAATGTTTACTATGTTCACCATCTTAGTTTGGTGTGCAAGTTTATTACATTTGCTTTTGTAAACATTTGCTTATTTGCACAAATTACAACAGCATACATAATAAACATACCTGATATTTCCACTGTATAAAAAGAAGGGATCACTTGAGGGTGACATACAGATCTGTACCTAATTTCCCAGCAATGCATCCAATAGCTGGTAAGAAATGTCAATGGATAAAACATGAAAAAAGTGTGAGAGAGGTAAGGGGGATCGCCAAGTCATTAGGACGTATCCTCTTGGGATCATAACTATCTGTATAACCATTGCAATAGTAGTTTAGATATTTCAAATTAGACTAAAGAAATGAACCAAACAACAGCGATTAGTCATAGAACGTCGCTAGCATGGCTACAACGTATAAAATACTAAAGGTAGGAAAAAAAACCTCTTTCATATAAAATAAAGATATCTTCCATTGTTTCCCTTTTCCTGTCTTGTCCAGGGATCTCTTCCTGTACCTTATCCACGTGGCTCACCTGTCGCCTGGCCAGCTCTGAGCAGCAGAGGATGTTCCTGGAGAGGGAGCACTCGCTGCACCACTCGCACGAGATGACCGAGAAGGTAGGACATGACCGCAAAGGAGAGCTTCTAATAGGTCAGCTTGTCAACCGTATGCTAACAGTGTATGTTTCATGGCCAATACTAAGCAGATCTTTGTCTCACTGCTCCGCCTGAACCTGCTGGATCTGTCAGACCATGCTGTGGAAGCGGTAGAAGTTTTCATAAGACATTGTAGTGCTTGGAAACAATGCCCCCTTTTGTCCACAGTGACCACCAAAATACAAATAAAAGTTACTTTTTAATGACCAAGTGTGTCTGTGTGTCCCCCTAACAGGAGATCCTGGACAACTCCAGTAACGGCATCCCTCAGATCTCCTACAACGGACACAACCAAGCATCACCATGACGACCTATCACCAAAGGCGACACAGAGACGGTTCATGAATCGCTCGCTGTGCTCTCAGATGAAAAATACTGCATGTCGTTTTTTCCACACATCCTGCGGCATAAGCAGTAACTACATCTTGACCCCAGGGAGTGAGTCCAGGTCTCTCAACTTGGACGCCTTTTTTCTGCCGCCTGTTTAATAGAAGAACATTCTGACAACAGGAGGAAGGTGTTTGAGCCTCTGAATGATTATGCAAATGCAGGTTCAAACCCCCTTCGACCAACTCAAACCAAAGCCGGGATGGAGAGCTGCTGTTAGGGTCATAATTCAGGTGACGAACCTCGGCGTTCGGTATCTGACCTTTAAAGTAACAAGTTTGAAGGATAGATTTGATCCAATGAGATGCCCTCAAAGTAATGAGCACAAACCAAGCATGCAAGTGATTCAGTTGAATAGCCACTGCTATTTCAGTCTCAATGTCTTTATTCTCTCTTGTTATGGGTTTATGGAATGCAGACCTTGAGATAGCTTACAGTAAACCGTATGTATCGTCTGATTAAGGAATGCTTTGATATGAAATACGGTGATGCACAGTGTACTGCATTGTATATCCATGCTTATATATGTATCAGGAATCTAGCTGTAACCACAAATCAAACATATTTTTATAAATGCTTCTTATAAAAAGTGAATTAAAGTATGACTAATCTGAGTGATGGTTTATCTTGCATGGATTATGTCAGTTTAATTGAGATTCAGATTATTTTACACACAGACACAAAAAACACACACACAAACACACAAGATGCAGCAAAATGAGTTTAGTCTTGTGATCCCAAAATATGTATTAGACTGAACAAGCCTAAGGATTTTTGCACATTTCTGTCAATATGCAGGTGTTTTGAGTTATCACATAGCAAGTTGCCCCCTGACAGCATTCTAATCAATGCACTAAATGTTTAATTTCCGTTAAATAAATGCAATAAATCTTTAAAACCAAGTGTACAATATTACTGACAACATGCACATCAGGTTGTCACTTGTGATCAATGAGGAGCAAGATTTAGGAAGTCTCTTCATTCCTATGGGAGCTCAGAGGTGGATTTGGCTCTGCTCAAGGTTTACATAGTCATTGTAAAGCTAAGCGATGAGGTAAATCTCTTTAATAGCACCTCTCAAGCAATACTTAACAGTATCATATACAGTCAAACAGACAGACACACAGCTGTGACCTCTAATGAAGATACGCAATTACTCTGGCAACATCATGGCTGCTCAATACCTCATTATGGTGTTTGTCTTGTATGTGTTTGTGCGTGTGTGTGTTTTAAATATAGCCCATATACTGTAGCTACTGGGAGCTCTTGCTGACTAAGAAACCACGTCACAATTTATCACTGAGACAATAAGCAGGAGTGCAAGAGAGTGTGTGTGTGTGTGTGATAAACATTGCGTGCATGTGTGATATGCTGAATCATGTGACATCCTGGGGTGCTGCTCTGTCAGAAAACAGTAACACTCACACTGTGTGTGTGTGTGTGTGTGTGTGTGTGCGTGCGTGCGTGCGTGCGTGCGTACGTGCGCGTGCGTGCGTGCGTGCGTGCGTGCGTGACCTAATTGACACCTTAGGTCACCCTAATGATCTGAATATGCCATGGCAGGTGAGAACAGGATACAGAATCAATAACCCTAACCCGTCTCTTATCAGATGAACAGCTTAAAAGCCACCCTGCCAGGGTGGCTGGTGCACGTCCTGCAGTTTTAAATAATGAAGGGCATGTTGCTGAGGAAAGGCATCATACTCAGGGGTTTTACATAACATGAAAGATGCCTGTCAGTAATCAGAAGGTTACCATGCTTTTTTTTAATACAGGAATAAAAGACAGACTTAGCTGCTGTCCCTCCCATTCTCCTTGCAGTGTGAACATTAACACTATGCTGGTCAAAGCTTTTCTGTCTGAATCACAAACCAATTTCCATACTGTCAACCTGGGGCTTTCAATGGCCTTGAAAAAGTTGCCCACTGTCCGCTGTCTAGGAACAGTGTTTGTGCCTTTTGCTAATTTATGGTCGGTAAATACAATTCTAGGGCATTCATATTATTAACATACATACAATTTTACAACACGTGAAAGCAACATGTCACATTGTATATTATTTGACATGCAAATTAAAGATGTAAAAATAAGTTTAAACATTTTACTTCTTACTTAACAACTTGTGGCATCAAATAATCCAGGATATCTGTAATGGCAATTTTAATGTTCCAATGTCCTATATACTATTGCCATTATTCACAGGAGGGTTTAGAGTGATCCTGACGCAGACACAGACAGATGCATTTCCGGTCTTTTGCTGCAGTTTAGAATGATGTTTTATTGCTTTACATAACAAGGTTTAGTTATACTGTGTCAAAGGGTTGTGGTATGAGCATTTGCCAGCTGGCCGGGCTGGTTGAATCGGTATGCTCTTCCTCCTGCGTTCTCGTCATTTGCTGTCACCTTTATGCACCTGGTGCAGCTAAACCCCGCCACCAAGTGTTCTAAATAATATTGCACTATACATATAAATTAAAGTAAACTGAGACACCAACAACTCCCATAAAATGGCTCCTACAATATACTGTATATGAGATGGAGCAGATAACGTAGTCTCTGGGGTTACAACATTTGAAATGTGATAAAAGGTGGAGTCCTATGGTTTACTACAAGATATTTAAGTGGATGTATAGTTTTGTATACCAATTAGTTGGTGTATTTGTGCTTTGTTATTTATCATGTTTTATCTTATCTCATCTAATTTTCCTGTAATTTAGTGGGAATGCTGATACAGCATTCCAACTACTGTTATGCTACGCACGAAATTCTCAATTATTCCGCCGGGTTATTTTGCGCTGCTTCTTCTCCCACATTGAACATCGCAGAAACTCCGTTCAAACGGTAATCAATGGCTATTACTTTTATCATTCATAACTTTCATAATTCGAGAGATACATCCCATAATACATCCCATTTTTAACATGGAAGTCAATGGAGAACTCTTCAGACTTCAACAATCTTCAT